AAACCGATTCTCCCAGGACATTTAGGTAGCCCACGGATCTATTCTGTCATAAGAGTTGGGAGTGAAGCTTAAATCTAAATGATACAGTGGCCTGCGTATACTCACTAACCATCGGTGAAATTCTTACATCATTCAAGAAAATCCTTGCAAGGCAATCTGCCAACCTGTTAGTGCCTTCCTAGTTGCTGCATATGGGCATCCTTTCGCTCATTAATATGTACCGTGCTAACGCCTTGTTTGCGTGAATTGAGATATATTCACTGTCTCCTGCCCAATGGTAAAACCTTGACTGAAGAAAAAAGATTGCTTCAAACAAAGGCGATGCAATGATATTTTGCCAAATATATCTCATATCTTTACTGCCGCTGATAAAATACGAGTTTTCACGAGACAGGATTAAGAGCACAAAAAAAAACTTGGTGGAGAAATGAGGACGATATCAAAATATTTTGACAGTTTGAGATAGTTGACGGAAATTAATTGTCGGAGAATTATTACAAAAGCTTTAGTTGTTTAAAATTCGTTCCAAATCTGGACAATGCCCAGTGGCTTTCTGATAAGGATGGTACTTGCTGCGCTAGCAATCATCGCCTTGACGACAGTGGGTTATTAGCATAGGGCGGTTTCTGCTAACGGTAATCGCATATCAGCTTCATTCGCGCTCTGTCTATCTGAGGTAATAGGGCATCGAAATCTAACCGAGGACAGCGACGTATTCAGGCTGTTTTGAATAGGAGATAGGCCTGACCCCTGAAAAACATTGTTAGCTAATTTAGGGTTCTCGTGTACTTTATGAATGTTTAGTATGTTGCAGTAATTTTTCCGCATGTAGACAATTTTCATTCTGAGCGAAACAGGTGAGGCATGCGTTTGCGGGACTCCGTCAAGGTGCAATCGTTCACCTTAGAACGAGTCTGTATGAAGTACTAAGAAACGAGTCTGTCTTCTAAAATCCAAGTCACTCGTATGAGGCGTAGGCGCTCAGGAAATATTCTCTGCTCGTCCGCAAACCGATCATCCGACCCGGGGAGTTTCTGCCATCTGCTAAGATTCTGCGGATTTACGAGGTTTGGTGGTATACCGGCTCCGTTCCGCCTTGGCCATTATTAAATAGGCCAGTATTTATGCAGACTGAGCCTAGTATTTAGGATATCGTGGCGTCCAAATGAAGAAGCTCCTTTTTTGGGTAGCTGATACACGCAAAATATAAAGGACATTCCACTTAGACAGACCTCTGACGGCTCTGTCATCTCTGCAGTTTGTGCTGAGCACTTTACTGTCAGAGCTTTCAAAAATGGCAGTTGAGGAGTCATAAAAGGTGTACTGGAGAGAGAACACAAAACATAATCGCCCGACCCCACTTTTGGCGCCAGTGTGTCATCGCACAGTCAGATGGGCGGTTTCATGGACTGATGGACATAACATTTGGGGCTGGCAATTAACTTGGGACAGAAAGTATATCTGTGGGGGTATTATTCATTTACTATTCGCCCGTGGATTGCAAAGGAAGGGGCGAATGGACTGTGCCAGCCTGTTGCAGAGACAAGCAAGGAGGTAGATTTTCACGAATGGAGACGAAATTCTGGGTAGTAGGTGAGCGTATGAGTAGGGATGAATTAAAGTGATCGGGCTCCGGCAAAATTTGTTTACACTTTACAAGCATTCGAACTGTTTTAGGAGTCCATTACCGGAGGTAACGCAGAGAGTTATGAGTTACAGGTTTTAATATCTTTTCGGCTTTTCTTGCATTTGACGTTCGCAATGGGCTTGGCGGTAGCAAAGTTGAAATTGTGATCTGTTTCAGAGTTCTGTGCAGCCATCTGGGATTTGCTACTGTTTTGTTTATGCGCGATCCGAGGATGCGCTCAATCTGATCTCTTTACTTAATATGACAGATCGAGCGTCCTGCACTCCACCTGAGTCTCTAATTTCGAGATTTCATTTTCAGTCTCTAACACATAAAGCTAATTGCTTACATTCAGCAGGCAGTTACGAACCGAATATCCACCGTTAATCTTGAAACCTTTGCTGCTATACGCGTTGAAAATTTGTGGTTCCCATATTTTAAAATAACTAAGCTGTGTTGGTTAAATCAAATGAACTCCCCTTTGCTTGTTGTAGAAAAACAATAATGCTATTGTAATAAGACTATATTTATAGAATGGACATTTCAAAATTGGCTTCTTAAAAACATAAAAATCGTCCGAACTATTGATTATCACAGCAGGCGTTTTTCCTTTTGAGTAATGACAATTTTCATTAACTCAATAGCTACTGTAATCAGTATACAGAGCACTTGATGCAGAAAATTTGTGCAATTCCTTTCTAAACTGCCGAGAGCACACACAACTGGGTGAAACATGTGTAGTGCGTATGCTGCATCGACGACCACTAGACGTATTTCTTTCTAAATACGAAAGCCTCCTGTGAACGGACTAATACCGAGACACAATCCGTGTTCTCGGCTCTCACTCAATCAATTAATCGTAACTAGAGACGTCTAAGAAATATGTAGGGCCCATTGGGTCAGTGGAATTGAGTGGCTAATGTTTTGACTTGCTCTCCATTATCAAAGCGTTTTGCGTAAAAATTGATCAGTATTTCGAACAAACGACCGAATTAATTTGCCTTGGGTCGATCGGTTTTTTTCTTCTTTCGCAGTCTTGGTCAACTGACCGTTGTTTGTGAATGTGGTCGGCCTCATGCGTCGTATGTCGTCACCTCAATGGGGTTCGGTTGCACATGTCCTTCCCGATATTTTTTAAGCCCCATGTGAGCGTCTTGTTCTGATCCTAGCGTACGTAGTGACATAGGACTGTATAGGCCGAAGGAAGTTCTACATGCCTGTTAGCGGATTTGGCATCTCAATACCAGGCCTCAAGCGTAAGATGCTCTGTCCTTGATGTGCCTCGGCTTAAGATGTTTGCTCCTGGGAACTAGAAACTGTGACCAGTTTCTGCTATTTGTGCTGCATGCTGTGAGTTGGCGTCTTGTTTGCGAGTTGCCAGTTTGTGCTCCTTTAGGCGGGTCTGAAATTTTCGCCCAGTTTCCCCCAACGAAGTTGCAGTCTACATCGCTGCAACACATTTGATAGACAACTGCTGATGTTTCAGTGGGTGGCAGTGTGTCTTTGGGTTGTCGATGCGCTATACCCACTCTGGCGGCTTTTAACATTCGTGAAACGAAAATAATTGCGTCAAGGAAAGGTAAGTCAGTGTTTCTTTCCAACACAGCTTCTGTTTACGTTTCAGTTTTATTTTGCTTATCATTGGTACTGGGATATACTTCGTTCCTTCGCACGCATGTTCCATAATTTGCATCTTGTGTATGAGCAATGAATCAAATTTAACAGAGTTGTATTCTACAAACCGGCAGTAGTAGTGAGTGTCATGGCGTCGATTTAAAATCATATGCACATTCCCACGGTTATTCATGGAAAATAGCATGTATTCCAAGGTAGAGTCTCAACCCGCATTTACGAAGATCAGGGCGAGTACTACTCATTAATTGGACAGTTGTCCCAACCTTTCGCTGAGAAATCGTGTGCGCGGATTGGTCGATTGTTCATTTGTACTCAACTGAGTGTAAATTATGATAATACGCAAGGTGTCTTAGGGGGTACTGGGCGAAATTTATCCAAATTTAGTGCCGTTGTGGGAATTAGCAAATAGTGGAGCAGGGAATATTTTCATCGGCTCTCGTTCAACCGCAGGCATTTAACGGAAGTAAAGTGTGACTGCGCTGACTTCGCCCAGAACATTTCGCATCTTCACTGCCGCCAGTGAAATACGAAATGCGTTTGAGTTTGAACGCGACAGGATTAATAGAACAGGCGAGAATAGCTTGACAAAATAAATGCGATAGGCGAATAATCCGACATTTCGGGATAGGTGGCGTAAATTGATTATCGGTGAAGTATGACAAAAGCTTTAATTGTTTGACATTCGTTCCAAATCTGGACAGTGTCCGGTGACTTTCTGTTGCGGTAGCTTTGGGTCTGTAATTCCTGTTGTCGCAAACATTCCCAAGACGATGGTGGATGATTAGCGCATGATAGTTTCTTCTGTGTGACATCTCATGCCTGCTTTATCCGCGCGCTGTCTATCTGAAGTGAAAGGGCTTCAAGCACCAATGCAGGACAGAAAATTGTTTCGGTTGTTAAGAAAAGGAATACAGGTCTTACCCTGATTCTCACTGATAATCACTGCTAGCTAATTGAGAACTTTAGTGCATTTAATAAATGGCCAGTGTGTGGCAATTTTTTCGACATGCTGGCAACATTAAATGTCGAGGGGCTTTATCCTTCGCCTACGTTGGTAGGAAAATATGCGGCATATTTATGCACTGATGGATTTTTGAAAAGTTGGTTTTCCAGAATTTTGTAAACTTTTACATCTCAAAATCGGTGAAAACCACCGTAATTACCCACGGGTTAAGTTGCCCCTTGCCCCAACCTAATGCAACCCATGGAATCCACCAACTCTGACGCTTTGGAGTCAATTGAGCGCACTGCAATGCGATACTAAATAATGTAATTGATTATCTGATCATAAAAATCAAGGACCCGCTACACCCTTGGAAGCAGTCTGACATTGTGTATCGTATCTCCTGGTGTAAGGCGGGCACCCGCGAATGGTGGCAGACGGCACCATACAAATCGTGACTGGCCCTCGCTGTACCCCCGGTCACAACCTGGTAACCGCTTCGACCGGCGGGCCAAACCAGATGAGGTTATTCGATGTTGTGTGTGTCTTACACCCGGTAATTCTGCTCCCCTCGCATTCCCTCCCTCACGGGGAGAGCAGTATGAGATCCCACAGATGGCCCGAGCTAACTCAAACTGTTGTCCCGCTACACAAAACGGTGACTCATAGTGGAGTTCGGCAGCCGTCTGGCATATCTGAGCAGCCTAATATAGAAACAATACTTTTTATCCCCTCGTGGGTGAAGGAACTACAAAAGGTGACGTAAACAATTGCTTGGATTACCGTCGCTCTCAGATGTATAAATCACGACAGAAACAGTCAAACAAACAACACATCTTGTCCGAATCCATCACTGCATCTCGTAGGGTTGCCAGAGTGAGACCGCCCCTTCTGGCAGCCTGGACTGTTCGTTCTCTTTTAGACAATGCGAGAAGCAACCGTCAGGAACGAAGGGCGACGCTAGTCGCTCGAGAACTGGCGCGCGTCACAAGATGTACACCACTGCTCTCAGCGAGGTTCGCTTCACCGAACCAGGCTAAATGGAAGAGGTGGAGCGTCCGCCCCAGGACAGAGCGAGGAGATGCAGGCGTCGCCTTTGCAATCCGGAATGGCATAATGGAACGACTGCCCTGTCTTCTGATGGGCCTCGCCTGCCTCTTCGGGGATCAGTATCGCCACCATCATCAGCGTCTACGCCTCCTCCCCATGTTCTACGAGGATCTGCACGCACTCCTGGTGTTTGAGTCAAAGTTGGAATAGCTGATTCTCCTTGATGACGTCAGTGCCAGCTTCAGGACCGATTACCCTGCCCGGGGCGATTGCTGGGTCCTAATGGGATCGGCAGCTGCAGCGACAACCGCCTCCCTCGCCTACGAACCTGCGCAGACCAGTCCTCCCCCTGACCAACACTTTCCGCCTTCCGACGCGGCAGACGACAGTTCGACCGTCCGTTTTGACGATGTCTACCGTGTGCTCTACAGCAAGGTGGGAGCAGAGGCGGTGACTTGCGCGAGATTTAGTTTATAGTGACGGTAGGCTTGCACAGCACCTACCGCACTCTCTCCTCCACATTCCCCACCTAGACCCGGTGTCGAGACGGAGTCAAGGAGACTGGAGTCGGGGGAGGGCGCTGGTGGATGGCACGGTCGAGCCCGCACCTTGGCGCTCCACGCCACACCCCTGGACCACAGATCAAATAACCAGGTTTTTTACCAACAACAACAATGGGGAGTGGCAGGGTCCTAGTGTGCGCGACGACTGCCGACAACCGGGTCTGCCACAACACCCCGAAGGGTTGACATTGTTTATCGTGTGCAAATCTGATAACGCCTGCCAAAATCCGATACGGCCCCCGGGTTAGTCCAGCGCATCTACCACTTGACCCGTTTGTGCGGCACGCCTAGGTGCGGCCTATCCGTGCAAGCCACCCTTTTTGTTGTCGGTTAAAATCTTGGTTATTTTGTGTGTGGACCAGAGCGCTTGGAGTGGAACGCCAAGTTGCGGGCTTGACCGTGCCATCCACCTGCGACCTCCCCTGACTCCAGTATTCTTGACCCTGTCTTGACACCGGGCCCTGGTGAGGGAGAGGAGAGAGTGTGGTAGATGCAGAGAAAGTCTACAAACTAGTTCACGCGCAAGTCACCCTGCCTGCCTTGCTTTTATGTGGAGCACACGGTGGACATCATCAGGTACGACAGTCAAAATGTCGTATGACCGCCGCTGTGGCTACGGGCCTCAGTGTGATGATACGCCTAGGTGCGGATCTCGCCGTGCTGGCCACCTGCGCCATTTCTTACCCCCGATCCTCTTGATTCTGTCTTGACACCAGGTCCTGGTGGGGTGGGGGTGGGGGTGAGAGTGCGGTAAATGCTGCGCAGTTCTACTCTCACTATAAACTAAAACACGCGTAAGCCACAATGCCTGCTTCACCTTTTAGTGGAGCATACGGTGGACATCGTCGTCCACGACTGTCGAACTGTCGTGTGTGTGTGTCACGCGCAAACGAGCTCTTCCCAGCTTTGTCAGCCACCTCCCCCAGTCTTAGCATCAGTTGATGAACCGGCGCGGTCAGTCGACGCTCAGCGCATAATTCCTCGCTTCAAAGCATCTGAGGCGTTTGAGACTACAATGCAATTTTACCAACTGACGCTTCAAGCCAGACCACGCAATCGGTCTAGTTGTGTGCTGAGTAGCCTACTGATTGACTGAGATTCGTGCCGCGGTGGCACTCACTCAGACATGCCAGATGCAAGTCGCTTCACCCTTGTGTGTGTGCGTGTAATTTCGGTGAATGCGTTCAGGGAGGGTGCGGTAGGGCAGGTCTTCTACGTGGCGCCCGCGGACGGGCTCCCTAGTTCTGCCAGCCACTGCATCCGGCAGCAGATATGTGACCAACTCGGACAGTTGACTGATGCATGGAAGTGGAAAGAGAGAAAGAGGTCGACGTCTCAACGCATTTTCCTCACTATCCTCAATCTGGCGCACTTGAGTCTATCACGGTGCGCTAAAAGTCGTGCTTCGGAAACCTGCCTGCTGACAGGATAATTTGAATTTCACTGTCAGCCTCGTATGCGTTTGCATGCGATGGCCGACTGGTGGACTGAGAGTCAGGCTGAATCCTCTCCTACTTGATGTGGACCCGGCCGACTTCCTTCCGCTGCGGGTTTCCAACGTACTAGCCACCTGAATTCTCTGCTGCCTCCAATCTCCATGATACCAGGTCCGGTTTAGGGAGTAGGGAGTGAGGATATGCTACGCAGTTCTACCGCCACTATAAACGAAATCATACGCAAATCACGGTCTCAGATCTCTCCCTGTTGTGGAACAGATGGTGTATATCTTTACCGACGACGATCGAACTGTCGAATCATTTTTCGTGCCCGAACTGTGCTTGTGAGAACACAGGCCAGACTGAACAAATAGTCGGATCCCGCATACACGAACATAACTTGCCTGTACGGCGGGATGAAATATCTTAACTGACTACCTACAACGACGCGGGTCACAAGTTCATCCTCTCGGGCGCCAAGACAATTGCGCACTCCAAAGCCAAAACAATCCAAGCAGATGCTGACGCGGAGGCCTCAGGTGAGATTTCAGCATACAGAATCTTGCCCAGTCACCTCCAGTACTGTGAAACCAGTCGTTAGCTGGTCTGTGTTCCACGTACCTGAGGTTTATTCTGTTGCCTCTCTCACGATGGGCTCCTGCAGGAGTTCCAATGCATACAAAAAACCAACAATTTTTTTCACGACCCCGAGCAATCAAATGCCCGATATTTATGAGGAATGTGGTGCCCGCCAAATAATGGCTGTACTACGCGAGAGGACTATAAATATGCCGGTCGGCAACTGGCTCGGTACAGATAATCCGTTCAGTCATCTGACGAGATGCATTGCACTTTGCCTGAGTAGATACCCTCGGAACTTCATATTTTACTGCATAAAATAAAGGTAGCTTATTTTTTAGTTTCAACGGACACTTAAGATTCGAATATTCTCCGTTATTCTTAAAATCCGGGTTGCCGTACTCGTTACTGCCTGACGAGTAATACCACTGACATCAATGACCTAATTCAGAAGTTTAGCGGGGCTCACCCCTCTCTGATGTCTACCGCAGAGACCGAGGGGAATAACGAGATCGCGTTCCTCGATGTCCTTCTACACAGACAAGAGGATGAATCCATCCAAAAGCAAGGTATTCAGAAAGAAAACCTGGACGAAACAATACATAAATTTTCACAGTTTTGTTCACTTAGATCTAAAACTAAATTTAGTCCGGGGACTGGCGGCTAGAGTGCGACGCATCTGCTCTTCTGAAACTGTTGAAGCAGAACTCCAGCCGTTGCAAAACACGCTCCGCGTAAACGGCTATCCAGAGCGATTCATCCTCCGGAACAGTACAGAACGTGTCACAAAACCTGCCGTTGCAACTGCAGAGAAGAAGAACTTATTTCTACGACTGCCTTTTCTAGGAGGCGCAGCAAGCGAATTAGTGAGACGACTTCTTAGGACAGTTCTCGCGAGTGCCTTCTCTGCGGTGAACTTGCGCGTATTCTTCGCAAACTCCCCCCCTACTACGGTTGTGGGGCAAAAACCGACTGCCGTTACAGGCCACATCCATGTGTATTTATTCATTCACCTGATCCTGTGGAGTAGACTAGAGTGACCGTACAACGAGGCGTCTGAAAAGAGGGTATGCGAGCACATGCCTGTCTGGCTAGGTAGAGGGAAAAAATCGATCGATTTCGAGTTCAACTCTCGCACATCTAGTCGATTTAATCCACCAAGCCGACGCTAAAGAGGCCTTTAAAGTTGCCTACCGGGTCTCGGCACACTACTCTAAAGGCCGAAGCAGTGGCCATTCGACTAGCGAACCTAGAACTCTGTTGTCAGAGGACACTGACACAAGCAATCTGTCTGCCCTGACCCACTCCAGGCCGTGATAGCACGCCGTCCCGACACTCTGAGAGCAGTCATACGCACTTACAGGGCTTACAATCTAACCGGAACCCCTCTCCTTCCCCCCTCCCACCCCAAATCCCCCGTCCTCAACACGCTGACTCCGTCATGCGGGCGGCGTGGGGGCATGGAGTCTGACTAACCCTACCCCGGAGACGCATTTATATCCTGTCTTCAATTAGAATGATCATTACCCATGTAAATGTATCGGCCTGATGATTAGTTACCGAAAACGTATGTTTGCCAATTGGTTCTTCAAATTAGGGTTTGGTGATCGCATCGAGTGAATTGGTTGGGATACAGGAACAATAATGAAAATTTAGCAAGATCATATATGTAACGCTGGCATTTCAAAGTTCGCCTCTTGGAAACATATAAATATTCAAAATTACTGATTACCACCGTTTGCCTATGCCCCTTGAGTAATGTAAATTTGCATAAATCCCCTGTCTACTAAACGTGAAGCAGAAACTAGTAGACTTATCAGAGCGTTGCTCAGATTTCTGCAAAACTATCGAGAGCACGGGCCCTCCTTTTGATCTTCGTATACAACTGGGTGAAACCTGAAGTAGTGGGCATACTGAAATAGGGATTACCCGACATGTTTTCTCCGCATAATAAGCATGCCTCCTTTGAATGGACTGACGTTGAGACATAAAGCGCGCTCACAGCCGTCAGTCAACCACTCAAATCTAGCTAGAGACAACAATAAATGTGTCTAGGGAAGGTGAGACAGAGTTTTTGCCAATAGGGTTTTTGCTACCATTTCAATTTTATTTTTGTCAGTAATCGTTGATACTTGCGTAGTGATTTGCTGATTTGCACGCATGCCCCATATTTCATTTCTCATGTATGAGCGATTAATCAATATGAACCGGATCGTATGTTAAAATTTGTATCAAAGCATCCCACTGACGAGACTAAATTCGTCAACAGTAGTGAATGTCATAACATCAATTTTGTAGATGCTGGACATTCCTGTTGCTACTCATGACAAATCGCATATAATTTAAGGCAGATTTACAATCTGAATTTAGGAAAATCAGGCCAAGTTTAACTCATCATTTAGAAATCTGTCTCAGCTTTTCGTTATCAAATCGAGTGAACAGCCTGCCCTTTTGTTCTCCCATGTACCACTGAGTGCGAATTACGACAATTTGCAAGTTACTCAAGAGAGTACTCGACGAAGCTTATCCTAATAGAATGCCGCGTGGGAATCAGTGAACAGCAGAGCAGAAAGTATGTTGACTGGCTGTCGGCCAACCGTAACTACTTAACTGAAAGAAAAAGGTTACTTCG